ATTATAAAATTTTGATTAGTTTTCAAGAAACATTTGTTTTAATAAAAAATTGAAATATCCTACCTTAATCAAATGCAAAACAAATTCACGAGGTAGTACTAAGAGTTAAGCTAGGGATTAGAAATTTTAGGTATTTCTTATTTGGTGAGGTTTCCTTATGTGGTATATATATATAAATAAATATATATCTTGAGCATCTATTATAGGTGCAACTAAACTTTCATAATTAAATTCTCTTTTTTCTGCTAGCTCGCTTTTCCTTAAATGTATATTCAAGATGCAAATCATTTTCAATCAATATCTCATTTTTTGCACATATTCAAATTATATCTTAAAGTGTATGACTATGAATTTAATATACTAAAAAAGTGTTAAATAAACATTCAACATATGCTGGCAAACTGTTATGTTATACGTATATCGATTTAAATGTAAATCGAAACGTACGCTGTACGTTCCATACAAAATTGCGATTATCTACGGAAATCATATACCCGTTTATTAAGGAGTTAAGTATAGGCAATTTCTTGCAAAATTTTAATTTAAAGGTTAAACTGTGATGTTCAATTATTAGTTCAGTAATTGGGACTCTTTTTTTGGTAGTTAATTTATTTTTCGGACTATCACAACATCTTTGACAGTCGTTTAAAAACAATTTTTCATCTAATCATCATAGCTAAACATGTTCTCTATTATTCACAAAATAATATTCGTAGACAATTTTTTTTACAAATTTAAAATAATGAAAACTTTATATAGGTTCTCTTGGTGGCTTCTTTTTATATTATTAACCCAACATTCACAATTTATATTTTATTGTGGCATTATTTATGACATTTTTTTACTTTTTTAAGTGCTTGTATGATAATTTCAAAACTCTATAATGCCTTTGTAATGATTTTGACCTTAATTCCAACAATACTGTTTTTCCAATTTGACCTCATCAATCAGATGATTTGTACTTAGGTTAAAAATATACCTATTTTGGTGATTTTTAACTTCATATTACGAGTATATTATATTATATAACTGAATGCATACACGTGTCTATGTATATAGAAATTCCACGTTAATTTATACACCATATTTGACATCTAGGATTTTGCCGTTTTTACAATTACAACTACTTTTTTTATAGTAGACATTATACTCATCAAATAAGCTGGCCTGTTTGACTTTTTGAAAGATATGAATTTTTGAAAACGTCGATAATTTTTTTAATTACCCACAACTTAAAAAAAATGAAATGTTTAAGAAAATTATTTTTAGGAAAAAAAAACTGCGATTGTTTTTAGAAATTTAGTGTCTTACCATTATAATAACCATGATAACAAAATAATTATTAACTCTAGAGTATCTGGCCGCTGTCACGTAACCGGCTAAAGGATATGGAAATTAAGATCTATACATTTTCTTATGTCTGGACGATATCTTCTTAATCACTAGACCGATTTCTTCACGTACCGAGTCTACAAAATCAGAAATTATCTCCGAAAGGTAGCTTAAAATGAAAAAGTTTTACCTCTTCCTCTACAAAATCGAGAAAATACCCCAAAAATGTATTTATTATTCAACTTAAGATTACGGTGCGCCATAACTTTTTGATAAATAGTTAAATTTATTGTTATTATATACAGTGAACGGCGAACCCTAATCATTAACCCTTTCCTCTAAAAGGGGTGGACATATTTTCCTTGTTTGATTTTAGTCGTAGTTTTTGGATTTAAGGTCTAAAAATTATCTCACGGAAAAATTCATAAACAAAAATTTGTATTTCTATTTGTACATTACAGTTTTCCCCATCAGACTCAAAGGTTGAATTATAAATATATATTATATATAGAAACTAGAACACCAAAGCCACGGTTTAACTATCTTAACAGTTAACGTATGTTTATAAGTATATAAAATAAGCAAAAAGTATGACTGAAACTTGCCGATTGATCCTCGAGGCTAACCTTGTGAAAAACAATCAATTCAATCAAATGTTTTTTCGATTTATTACTTATGCATTTTACTTTATTATAATAATATACTCGTGTAGTATAGAAACTATTGAGTAGTGAATGACAATACCTACCGTCTTACGGTATAGCCTACATAAGTAGGTTGACAGTCTATAGTCCTTATTTACTCTATGTGTGCCAAAGTAAAAAAAAAAACAATAAAAAAATGATCATTTAAATTGTTATTGTACTGTTATTTATTAGCGTGTGTACATATATATAATATAGACAATTAATAAAACTTCATTAGTGACGTTATAACAACAAAATAATTAAAACAATTTCGTAATTCATATTTATTATTATTTATTATGTATAGTTGCTACATATTACTGTTAATGCGGATGATAAAAAAAATGCACATAATACAACAATATTAATATAAACTATAGGTATTAAACAATGTTTTGTAATATATGGCTTATTATTGATTTATAGGATCATTTTAAATCGGTATTGAGGAAAATCGTAAATATAACACATTTTGTTGTGTTATATTAGTTTAGATTTTAGACGAATAAATCCGTTTTCTAGTAGTTTGTAACATATTTCAAAAACGGCATCGATTGGTTTTGACTAGCTTTAGTCTTCTTTGCTATAGAATATATTATTATAGTGCACACTGCACAGTTTCTCATGTGAACGTGATTCAAGGGCGTCCCTAGACCTTTTTTCAGTGGGGGATCGTTTTATGAAAAAACATTTTCTATAGTACTTATAAAGTCTATTAACTAAACATAAATAGCGTTTCAATAAAAAGATTCCGGGGGGTCACCCTCTGTCCCTGTAAAATACGCTCTTGACATAACTGATTACAATTTTCTTATGCTCGTGAATAAATCTACTTAATTGAATACCAATAGGTTTTGCTATCTTGACTTGCTTACGTACACATAATTAATTCGAGAATGACCATATCAAACGACGAAAAATATTATTATTTCATATTTTGCAAAAATTGATAGCTAATACAAGAGCATAATATTATATTCAGTGTTGTGTACTCTATTTATCTCGAATTCCAAACTCAGGTAAAATGGTAAAAATCGTCGTTCGGGGAAGTCTAAAGGTGGATCCCGTTTTCATGTTCTATATAGTCATGCCTATATATTCTAACTTGAATTTTATTATTCGTGTCAAATTCCAGTTCTTTCAACTATTTAAATTCACATTTTGAATATGTTTATAGGTATTTCAAAAAATTATAAATAAAATTTAGAAAAACCAAGTAGACACGGGACACCAAAAATATTTACGTTTTCACAGGGATGCAAGTATTGAAGACGGTGTTAGATAGGTTTTTAAACATATATGCACATTTTAATAATATAAATAATGGTTTTTTTAATAGGTTTTTATATTTTTCCAGTTTTTAAAACTCGTTTTAATAACCTCATATAAATTAATGAGATACGGTTAATCAAAACCGTTTTCTTTTTCAAATTGTCCAGTTTTGGGTTCGAAGACCTTTTTTACATACCATGCAAAAAGTGTCCAATTAAAAATGTTATATTCTCATCCTATTATAAATTATAATACATATTATATTACAAATACTACTTTAAGGCGTTTGATATAGGCAATTTTTTGCAAACATTTAATTTCGAGCTACAATTATTATGTAATTATTTATTAGGATAGTACTGAGATAACTTTTGGTGGTTAATTTTTTCACCTAACTATCACAACATTTATTTAATATGGTTTTCTATTCACACAGTCGCGTTTTTCTAAATATTTAGATTAAAGATATTTTCTTAGTTTTCTCAAAAGACGACGATTTAAACTGTTCCCTCTGAAGAGTTTGTTTAAAATAATTATAAATTCCGTTATTAAATATAATTTTTAGAAATTCTAAAATGATCAAAAAAAAAAAAAAAATACATAAAATAATTTTACCAGTGTTATTGAGAAAAACTTCACTACGCTCATTTAAGTTTAGAAGCAGTAAATTTAAGAAAATAGTTGCTATTTATCTGTACATTTGTCTTACCAGATCTTCTTATCAGATATGAAAGAAATGGAAATAATAGGACTCTACAGCAGGGTGTTGGCCTATGCAGATGATATTATTCTACTAGGAGAATCCAGGTACGATGTTGAGGAGAGTGCAAGAAAGCTAATAAAATCTCTGCATCGAAGGGCTTACTTTTGAACAGGTAAAGCCTTAGAACATAAACGAAAAAAATAGTATACATTGTGCAATTAGGATGACACTGAATGCAGCAAACAGAAGTTAATTCACCATGAAATAAATGTTCCTTCAAATTACTGTTCAGACGTACAAAGGAGCGCCTATACTGTACGTCCATACGACCCATATTGACGTACGCATACGAGACGTGGTCTTCCATTCAGGGGATGAAGAAAATATAAGGATCAATATACAATAATGACTTGGAAAGAAGAACCAATGAAAACATGTTGCAACTGTACAATAAGCCGAGCGTACATTTCCTAGTCAGAAAGAGGTTGGAATGGGCAGAACACGTCTGGCGAGCAGAGGGCTTACTCATTATGAAAGTCACAGAAAACAAGTTAACGAGGAAGAGACCAAGAGGCAGGTCCCGGCAGATGGTACAATGCAGTAGAAATAGATTTTAAAAAAATCAGTACAGTGCTGGACATGAGAGCAGTTGGATAGAGATAATTTATCTCAGATAAGAAATTGAACATATTAGAAACGGGGATGGACCTAAATGAGCCTAAGAAGAACATAATATTTTTCTGAAAATCTAGCATATTTTTTACCGTACACAACTTCTACTACCTTAAGTTTAATGAAAACTTATTCAAATTATGTGTTCACGTCAAGAGGATTTGAAAACGTAATTTCCTGCGCCTGTTCATCTAACCTGCAGTGTAAAAAGAAATTAAAATGTTTTTTTCAGTTTCCTTAAGACATCAGTAGATCTATCGATACGTCAAAACAAAAGTATGTTAACTAGGTAACTTAAATAATCTTTGGGAAAAAAACAATTTCAGAAAAAAAGCTTCACAAAAAATATAAATTTATTTTACTAATATGACATGACGTATGATCTAATTCATATTCGTTGACTAACACTTGAACAACTAGGCACTAGAGAGAATTGTCTCCGAGCTCTACACGCTTGTACCGTAAAAATGTTCTATCAATAAAATTTAACTCACTAATTATGACTTAGTACAGTTAACTAACAACAATAAAATATAACTTAACTATTACTTTAGTTCTTTGGTGACAATAAATAAATATAAATAAAAAAGATTAAAGAGTTTTTAAATAGAAATAAAGTTATAAAAATAATTTTTAAAACTATATGACATGTATATATAAATGTTACAAAATCGTTATAAGGATTACAATATGTCACACATTATTAGTTGGTTATTGTATAATAATAATAGTAGTTATTCCAATTTGTAAAAATATTCTTTTATTTTGTAACCACAGTTCACAAATTAGACAAGAGGAACTATTTGATATATATCTTAACGAGAATGTATTTTTTTTAAACACAATATTAACTTTTTGTTATTACTTACAGGATTGATTATTTTATTAAAAGTAACATTTAATTACTTATTTGCATTTGCTATTAACGTTTACCATAATTGCATTAAAACCTCGAGCTAATGTAGTAGTATTCCATTAATCAAATTATTTAATTCCACATAAATATTTTTATTTCATTGTATAAATTAAACTAATTTCAGATCAAATAGAACATAATAAATAAATTAACATTGCAAATAAAACATTTGTTGTAATAACACTATAGTATACACATACTAAAAAGTGTAAAAGGTTTTGTACTACACTTACTCATTCTTGGGGTAATAATTTATAAAATATATGACTATACCTCTTTCAAACTCCAATAAAATAGTATGTTTATATAAACAAATTTAAAAAAATATTTGTTGTTTTATATAAAACAATAATTAGGAATATCATTATATTATTAGTAATCATATTGTTTCTTTTTTTTTTGTGTAATTATTTCATTCTAATTGTTGTTACACTAATAGTATTTTTTGAATTGAACTGCATACTTTAGTGCTAGGATTTCGTTTTTGAACCATTTGCATAGTCATATTCATTCAAGAAATCATCATTCCCAACATCAACATCATCATCATCATCCTCATCCTCATCATCGTCATCGTCGTCATCATGCAAATATCGACCTTTTCTGCAGTTTTTTCTGGGCGGCGACCTAAGCATTGTAAAAACAATTATATTTTATGCTATGTAAATTTCAGTTTTTTTTTTAATATAGTTACTTGACGTCAGTATTGTCAAGGTTTTTAATTTTCTAATTTTATTTTATCATAGGTAATTTAATATGTCAACACGTGCAACACAGAGTATGAGACCCCCAAGTTGGTTTAAGTAATATGTTTTAATCATTTTTATACATAAAAATACTACATAGTTAATTTATGTGCAAAATTATAATTGGCCCACAGGTAAACTATAGTTATCTATGCACATGACAAATTAGTAAAATAAAAGCTGGCAGTAAAGTTTCATGTCAAATTTTATAGAACAGTTAAAAATATTGTTTACTAAATTTATTTAGTAACTTTTATGCCTAAAGCACTAACCTTAAGTTTTCATCTGATGAACTACTCGATTCAATTTCAGGGGTAGTTCTTCCACTTTCTGTTGGACTTGAAGGAGGAGAAAATGCTTGCAGTAACTTTCCTTTGCTATCATTCCAAAAATGTGACTAAAAAAAATCGTAATCAACAATTACCACAATACAATAACCAATATTTTTTTTTATTTTCAACTTACAATTGGCCCATCTCTGCCAAACAACAGTAGAAACGATACGATAAAATCTCTAGACTTCTCTTCCCACCGCTGTAACATGTCTACTCTTTTTTCACCGATGGTACCCATAACTCGTTTACTGCGATCTTTAAGTTCTTCCATTTTGTTCTGTAGTTTTAACCGCTTTTCCTACAAAAAAAAAAAAATGAATAATAAACAATTTCTACAATTTCTTATTTTTATTTACTCTCAAGTATGAAACATTTAAATCTTTGGCACTGTATCCTCTTTGCAAATTACGTCTCACGTACATATCATAGTCGCGTACTATTCGAGATATAACATCAGATGTTGACACTCCTTCAGTTCGCTCTGTGCCAACAAACATGTCTTTTTCTTTTAATTTTCTATAAACGTCTTCACCTTCTTCGTTTATGTATGGAATATCATCATGAGCAACAAAATCAATCTATAAAAAAAAAAAACACAAATTTTTTTTTTAAAACATAAATTGAAAATACATTGAACTATTATCAATACTGTTATGGAAATTGGTCATATTTAATACAAAAACACACTTTATTATCTGTTAAAAATTGATCTTCAATTTCCCATGGTGCGTCTTTGAGAACTTCATCAACATATCTACAATGCCTAAGTGCTTCATACCTTTCTTCATCATTCATTACAGTCTTCCCTTTTCGAGCATTTGTGACTCTATCACTACACACTATAATTTAAAAATATTGTAAGATTTATGTTTATCTAGAAAAAAGTATACCTTAAATTTATACAAAATTCTTATTTATGCTAAATAAAAACCAGCTTTTTAAAAAAATAAAATTTTTTTTTTTAACTACTATAATAAAAATAAATAATTTAATTAAGTATCAAACTGGTTTTTAAGTGTCATTTTAAATTTAGCCAAATGCCTTTCACTTAAATACTACAGGATATAAAATATAATTTTCAAAATTATATTTGACTTACCTCCGACAATCAAATAAACATTTTGAAATACAGTTTTGGCTTGCAATAATTGCCTGGCATGTCCTTGATGAAACATGTCATAAACACCATCTGCATATACCCTGATTTTTCTAGGCGCTAAAATAAAATACAACAATAACAATGAATTGATATAAATCAAATATTAATAAAAACAAAAGTAAGTCATCAAAAATTATAATTTGCCATCAAATTACTGATGACACTTTCAATTAACTGATATAAATATTCCTAAATAGAGTTAATTATAGATATTCTAAAACATTACGTTTTTTTCTTTATAAATTCAAATTTATATTAAAGTACCGTTGCCAGAGTTAGCCATTTCCATAGAGATTTTTGTACTATAATCACATAAGTTACGCTCATATATTGCATCACTATCTGTGCTAAAAGGAGCTGGTTGGCAGATTGACTGTAAAAATTTCAAAAACAAAATAAAATAGTAGTTAATGACATATTAAATAATAAAATAGAATACAAAATATTTGTTTTTTTTTTTTTTACAGAGTTAATAAAATACAACTATTATAAGTACATTTTATATCCTTTTTTTTTAACTACAACATATAATTAAATATTTTTAAAAATATTTCATTTCACCTCCTTTCCTAAAACTGAAAAACTTATACAATGATATTCAACATTTATGTAGGAACGTTTTAGTATAATATGAACTTAATATGCAGTTGTAAAGTGTGGATAAACAAAAATAACCAATAGTATTTTTTCTACTATTAATATATATTATATTAAGTTATAAATTACTCAAACAGTATTACTACAATGTTAAATTATAAATTAATATCATATAAATCTATGAAAACCAATTTAAATCAACGGCCCCATAATAACTAAAGTAGTTTTCAACGCTATTTACAAGAGGCATAGTTCAAAATAATAATATGTAATTTGGTATCTCAAGGCCAAATTAATATACACGGTGTTCACGCATACATTTTTTTTATTTATGTATATCTAAATTAAAAGCAAATTCATTATTATAACCCAAATGCACTAATTTAAACTGATTATAATAGCATAATTGAAATATGTATGGTATTTATTTTATAAGTACCAAGTCATTATTTATTGTTTATGTAGTTAAATAAAAGGTCGCTATTATTTAATTGTAACGTAATAACTATTAACAGGAACTAATCTTGAAATCATATTTGAAATCTCATTGATTACCTTGAACAGAACTGCAAGAAACCACATCATAAACCTACAGCACATAATATAGGTACATAATATAGGTATATAGGTACATATGTATGTATTAGAGCATACATAATACTTCATGCACATAAAATGTGTATTCACTTCAGAGTTAATGCACAAATAAGTCAACCTTTTAAGTAGATACCTTGTTATATCAACCCTTTTTGATAGTTATATTTATTTATAAATTATTATATACTAATGCAATCTTGATTTATTCACAAAAATGTAATTTATAGTTTATTATGTTTAATGTATTACTGTTTAAACTATGTGAATTGAAAAATTTAATCATTTAATTTTAAATTAATGAAAAAACTTTTTAATATAATTTATTTTAAAAAGGGTGTTTTACAACAAAAATAAAGGTACTTTATAATTTCTTATGGCTTGAACTTAAAATTAATTTTAACCATATTAAAATTATAAGGTAAATTCCACCTAAATGGCTATTATATATTTTACTTAACTATAAATAGTTTAAGTAGACATTTTCATACCGGTGCAACAGTTATATTTTGAGGCTTTACCTCTTCAATTGTTTTCAACGAATTTGTATTGTTAATATGCAAGTCTACATCATTTGTAGTTTTTGACACATCCCTGGGTCTTTTTTTGGACATTGTGATATATTTCTAAATTTTCTCACTGAAACAAAAACAACAATGTGGTCAGTCATATTATTACATCCTATAAGCATTTTTTATTCTAATAAAAATAAATGTTATTATTACCACTAAATAGTATTAAAATTAATTTCAAACAATCTTTACAAGATACGAGACATTGAATCATTTTAAACAAGATATTAAAGTATATTATATTATTTAAATAAATAATAACGAAATCATTACAAAAGCAAATTTACCATAAGGCTATACTAATTACTAGACTAGAGCCTTTATTTGAAGCAGGTATTTAGGGAGTCAAAAACCCTTTCTGAAAATTGATTTCCATCATTCATCAATGACCATAAACTAGTTTTTTTTAAATATAACATCGTTCATAAACCTAAATATAATACAAATTTTAAATTTCTCTCTAAAAATTTGTTGGATTACGACCTTGTCTAAACTAGATATTTTAAGGAAACAAAAACCAAGTTTTCGTTAAACCTACTTAACCTGTAACTGGTACAGTGCAGTGTCACACACCGCTTATCAAAGTATATGGTATCAGTAGAGCTCGGATGATAATGACTAAAAAAACATTCAAATATGCATTTGAAATTCCAAATTATGCAATTATATGCCCACAGTATAAATACAATTTTACTTATGTTAATTAAAATTTATAAGAAGCCAAGTTGGCTGGCACAATACTAAAAAATACAATTTTATATAGGTTAATTATACAATCCTGTTTTTAAATAGACGACTTATCAGCATAATAAACTTAAATACTATTTTGCATAGGAGGCATTCCACTTCAAGTGTTCCCACTTAAAATTTCTAAAGTTTTCTTTTAATTTAAACACAAATAAAAAGTGGTCACATAGGTTTGAACAACGAGTTCCTTAGCATTTTCCCCGTACTTTACAATAAAATTATTTTTAATTACGTCAAACCATTTTTTACCACAAAAAAATCAATTAGAAAAATATTTTTGCAATTTTCGGCTCTTATGACCTATTTTGATATTTTTAAAAAAATATTTAGAAAATATTTGCTGGATAACCATTCCTCATGTATGTTATATTTTTATATTACATTATGTTTTTGTAAGTCGGTTTTATGTACAAACACAATGATAGACGACATCAGCCTTCACCACTGTAACGATACACAGCCTACATTGCCCCCACGTCGGCTATATACTTTTAGTTTTCTTAATAACAATTTTTTTTCAATATTTCAAATTAAAATTGTAAAACAACAAAATACTATTATTATATTATAAGAATTCTAATATTATACTAACAAATATGCTACTAAATCTAGATATAGTCAGTATACGTGAAAATATGCTAAAAAAAATCAAATATACAAAATATGTTTGCAGATTTGAAATCTAGACTTTATGAATCGAAATTATATCATACTTGGGTATAATTTCTTTGTTAAAAAAATATGCAGTCATAAACATCCGAGCTCTAGTTATGAGGCTTCTTATCACTCTACCAGTTATGAGTTCTTTGTATAACTAGTATAATTGTCCAAAATAAATGGTATAGTGCAACACAATGTATCCACAAATATAATCCTAATCCTATTTTTTGGTTTTTTTATCATGTTAATTCAGGAAACATTTTATAAAACAATAAATTTATATTCCTCAATAGAATAAAATGTTAAAACAGCATACACTATTAAATTGTATTAAATGTATTTTCAGGTGTTCTCTATGAAAGAATATTTTTTATTTAAAACTTTGTTAAATAAAAAAAATTCTAAGAAAATGTAATACATTTACATAAAAAGTTTAAAAAAATTAAGCAATTTTTAATTAAAGCTACTAGACAAATACAAATGAATGAGGCAAAATGTAACCTTGGTACATAAACTACTAAGATAAAAAAATATATATTAAACACCTATTTCATTCTACACAATTCTTGGTACATATTTATCATAAAAGTTACTACTTAGGTTCTGCTGACGTATTTAAGAAGAACGTCAATTATTAATTTTGCTCATTTAACACAATCTAATGTCTTTGTATGTACACTTTGATCAGGTCCACACATTTGGCATTCACTGATTACTTATCATGACCGTGCCATTTGCTATAGCCATCAATGTGTTATAATTTTCCCCACTAAAATTGTATAACAATCATTAACCATATTATTCAATTACATTAAAAATTATTTTTTAGAAAGCTTCAAACTAATTTTGGAATCTAAAATTGTAAAGTATTTTATGTGTTCCGATAAAGAGTATTTAATAACATACCCTTTTTTTTAAGATTATCGTTTGAAAAATAAAAATGTTAAATATAGGGGTGTAGCAACAGTATACATGTCCAGAGACATTTAAATCTTTAAATTTGCCTCTGCGTGGTATGACCAAATGTTTAACCCTAAAGCAGGCACGTGACTTTTGGTCAAGCTTAAATAATGTGTGCCTAGTATATATTTCTTACCTGAATTACAGTGTAACTATAGACGGCTGTAGTACATTCATATGACGTGCCTGCCGAAGGGTTAACCACAAAGCAATTGAAACTTCAAAACAAAAATGACAACCAAGTACAGACAATTAGACTAGACCTTTGGCCTTTTGGCCAGAGACCCTACTCTAGCTCGTTGTACTCATTAGATCTAATATTTCTATATGTTAACCAATAAAGATGATTTTATATAATAAATGTGCTAAATTGTAAATTCGGCTAAGCCGATAATTTTCGCTTTCTCAATATTACTGGGGCCCAGATACCTAATGTGGTTACTGATAATGGACTGTTCGAAAAAAAAGTTAGAATCTCAGTTCTGATATAGATACTTTAAATACTTTATTTAATAAATTGCTAAAATTTGAATTATTTAATCATCAACAATACATTACTAAAAAAAAACTTATTTCAAAATAAATAAGAGATTGGGTTAAATAATTAAGTCAAAAAAATTATATTGTACTATATATTATAATATTTTTAAACATTTTAGAGAAAAAAAAAGTTAAAAAGAAACAAGTCAAAATAAAAACTAATGTAAACTGTCAAACTATAAATCGCATTTTTCAAATTACTTTTTATGCAATAATTACTATAATTAATAGTTAAATTAAATTAGTCGGTTAAAAAAATATTATAATAATTATGTAAACAAACCATTATTTTTATCAACCAATTTTTAAAGTAAACATTCAAACTTATTTCATCAGTCATTTTTGGCAGTTTCCCAAACATAAATTAAACATATTTTATTTGTTTATAAAATTTAAATTGGTACTTAACATAGTAAGTTATAGGTACAGTAAATTATATTTTTATATATTTTCTTAAAATTAAATTTTATATTATACTATGAAGGACAGAAATATAATTAAGAGTTTATATGATATTTGATAAAAACTTAACAACCTTTACAGGAACACACAACAGGCGTTGTCGTTTCACGTTTAGGCAAGTGTAACGAGTAACTCTTAACTGATGGCAAAGTACGAAACAGCGGGGCGTCGTGCACACAATAAAAGTAATACTTACATACAATAAATTCGCAATATTGCGCAGTAAAATTAACGTCTTGTGCGATCTTCACTTGAATGTCGAAATTTTCCCGACCAACGTACAAAAATTTCGGATGACCTACGACATGTGGCGGGTAACGGCGAATAACTGGCGTGATAGTGCGAGGACAGGAGATAATTATTCGAGTCTGAGACTGCTAGAAAATGTGTAAGTTTCAAATTGGGTACAGCCATTATCTGCGGACACGGAAATTTTAACATTATCAGCCGACACCGCCGCATGTTTGTCGACGTCACGACTAGTCATCACATTCACATCAGACCAGGCGAGCCCCAAGGTTAACCATTTACCACGTTTTTACGGTGTGTCGTCGTTATCAGCAACTTATCCGTTTTCAGTATTTACAAAGTAGGTATCTATTCTGTGGCATTTACTATTTACACGATAAATGCCCCAGCCGTCGACAGTCGACCACTGAAATCAAATATTAAGTCACCCCGTCGGAAACGTATTATTTTCCTGTCGGCCGAGGTTAAAAATAAAAATATTTCTATAACATTTAATTAGGCTGGAGTATTATTTCCATGTTTATACACAACCGCTGAAATCTGAATCCTTCCGATCTTGTGCTGGGAAATTGCTACCTAATGTATGTTGTCCTAAACCCGGCAATAATTATTTAGAAAAATAGTTCTCTTGATAATTTATCAGAAAAACGCTAACATTGTTCTAGTTTAAAAAACGATACGGTTTTGGAACGACAACTAATATATACATTTTTTATTTTCTCGCTAGCACGTCTAGTTGTTTTTTAGTTCGCCTCCAAAATTGTAAAAAACACCAGTTTATGGTATTTTTAGCACGTTCTGTATGTTTGAATAATTATCTAAAATATAGTTAAGTTTGGTTTGCTGAATTGTGCGAACTGGCCTCGGATTAAATGTAACAAGAAAATTCTGGTTTGTGTTATGTATAGTTATCTTCAATTTTGGAAGCAATATAAAAAACAAATTGAAGTGTTTGCGAAAACCTAAAGCCAAATTCGTATTTAGCGAAAATAATCCTAAAGTTATATTAAATTTTAGTTTTTAGTGTTTGTTCAAAACAATCACACTACAATGCTGTTAACGTACTTATATATTTGAATATTATTTTTACAGATACTCGATTCTACAACACAATTTAAAAATTTGCTTGTCTTAGTTAAAGTAGTGAACTAAGCCAATGCCTTAATATGAATACGTGTATATAAAACTATATGTGCCTAGAAAAGTGAATTTGTTTAAAAGTAACATTCTAGAAGTGTATCATTCTGGGTTTACACATTGGTATCATTATTTTTAATGCTACCTAAATATTTGAACGTAAGTGTGTGCATGAAAATATGTAATAATCAAAATTGAATTTTAATTATATTAATTTAAAGAAACAAATAACTAATATCTGGTTAGTACTTAGGTCCTTACATGAATATATAAATAAAATTACACTTACAGTTTCCACGTTTTTCATGTGATTATGCTATTTCAGAATAGAAAAACTGTACCGAATGACAGTAGACACATACCTCTGAATATAGTCCACACACCACCCTTCATTTTTTTAAACTTTTAATGTATCATGACATAAAAAACATTCATGACTCATAAAAAATTCCATAGGAAATAAAGTAAATTATAACTTAAAATAAATCTATTACAATTAAAAACCGATAAGACAAGAAAAACACGTCAATATTCATTTCGATAAAAACTGTCAAACAGAACACAAACTACATTATACAGATAACTGAATAGGCAGGTAGTTTAATTTTATAATGGAAGTGTTTTTTTATAATTAATATTTTTAACCTTAATTATTTATGACCATAGTCTAAAATCGATGTTTTAATCACAAAAAACTTTGGAATTCAATTTAAGCACATTTATAAACCTGCATTGAAATTTGATTAGTTTTAGTATTTTGATGTATGTTATCCAAAACAGAATTATAACAGTAATGTTTTATGTTTTTATAATTAAAATAATTATTGCAGTGTATTATTTTTTGAGATGTAGAGATGTTTTTTTAAAACCCCAAGTTTTGCTCAGATTTTTTATAGATTAAAAACAAGTAGGGTCGGTATTTTGTCAGTTTTAATATGAAAAAACAATAGTTATTTTTATTTGTATTGTTTTTGTACGTATGAACTCTAATAAAAGTTATTACTTATGTTTAAGCTCATGTATGTACATTTAATGTATTTATTATTCCTGCTTGATTCGTATGTAAGCTTGTACGCATACCAAATAACATCACCCATAACACGTACAGTCTACTGATCCTAAAAATGTGTTGATTCAAAAAAAATTGTGCATATTATTACTATGAAATATGTGCATTCATTCATAGGTATTTGAAATGTGTACTCAATGTATGCTAACGCCTCAATGCTTAAATATTTTTGTTGCACAGATAATTTTGCACATTTCATAAATGATAAATTTGATTTGGCCATGGGGACATGTGCAATACAGCTTCAATGGGAAATAGTTATTTTTTTGTATACTTTGAAAACTAAATTAAGCCCCTATTTATCCCTCTATATTTATAAAAACGTCAATGGGTGGTTTCAGAATCGCAATTTCAAGTCAGCGAATTTTTACAAAATTTGTTAATTACAAATTATATAAACACATTGCAGACCATTAAAATGATTGCTATTTTCTACAAAAATTCTATCTATTAATAGGTATTATTAAATAGCTGTAAAATGTAAATAACATAATACCACGAAGTCGTTTACGGTATATTATCGTAATTGAAAACGTGTTTACGACAGTTCTACATTTTTGTTTTTAATAATAAAAATGTTGAATTGGCGAGTTTATGACAATGGATAATCAGATCGCCAGTGACCTAGTCTCGACCACCGTCCACGTAGTCTGGTGACCCTTACTTAACTTAAATAACAAATTAAATATGTATTAATTATAATAATTACCAATATAAATTAATATGTGACAGATATTTTCCCGGGATTATTTAGATTTAACTCAACTGGACGAGTTATTTTACGCGTCAATATTCTACTGAAATGCCTTTCTGCAAATTATTGCTATCATGTAATTTTCACGACTATTAATGATGTACGTCTAATTAAAAATCCGAAACCTTATGTAATTTTATAACCATTGAAACTCGTAAGGCACAACGAATAGGCAAATGATGTACATAAATGAATGTACAAACGTTGACTGTGGTCTGTCAGTTGTCACAATTAATAAAAGAATAAAATTAATTAAGCAAAAAAGGTTTTGACCTTGGTATTCTCTTGAAAATTAACTGATCAAATCGATTTTTTTTTCGATCAAAATTTGTTTTGTAAAATGTGAATTTTGTCTGGAACTCTAAACCGAAGCTTTCCAGAAATATTAACATTTAAAAAATATCACGTTATGACTCCGTTTTGCAGGTTACACTATTGACTATACAAATAACAAGTACAATTTTTATTTTAAAAGCTGCTATTATAAGTACTATAAATACGAGCGTACGAGCTCCGGCCAAATAATATTTTAGCTTCGATGCGAAGCAGAGATGATATTGGTTTTACAATGATGTGGGCTTTATTTTTGTCTGTATACACTGTAACTTTTTAAATACTGGGCCAATTCCTTTAAATAGCAACTCTATAAATCACAAATTCCATATAGCTGGTACTTTTAGGGGAGGGGGGGAGTAAAAGTTGAAAAAGCCAGTTGTAGAGTTTAACTTTGAAAGATGTGCACCGTCACATTAAAACAAAAAAACCAATAGCTCCTCCCCATCGAAGCTAAAATAATAATAATATATTATAGTTTATACAATACTCGTTGAAAATATTTTTGATGATTACCGGTGCCATTTTAATATTATTTTCAGGAAGGGAACTTCAATGTAATATTTGTATTACGTGGCAGTTTAAACTGAATACTTACCTAAAATTAGTTATATTACTATTGTTCAAACCTTAAGTTGGCGCGGGTAATAATGTTGGCTGCCTGCGGACATTCGCTGTTACCGCTATCTTCGGTCAATGCTTTTGAGCCGCGCTGATAAGAAACTGTACATCAGAATTTATCAATTAATCACAAAACACCGTACACGTAAATAATAACAAGTATAGTATACACTAATAGACTATACGTCTTGTCTATGACAACAATACAGCTTACTAGTAGGTAAAATTATTAGCATGTTTAAGAGTTAATTAGTAATTTATACCAACGTATGTTTTTAAAAATTGACAATTTATAAGAAATAAAACAAAATCAAAGTGATTGTTGATTATTTAATTTTGCAGCTATGTCTTCTTTAAAATATTTACTGATGACTTTTGCACTTTTTGTGCCTTCCTTAGCCGTTGATACATCCGAGTTAAAATGTCAAGTATGTTCTAGTCTTGTTGAGTTGATACAGCAAAATGTGAGCTCAGTTAGTCCTACACGTGTCGTACAAGTTTCTAATTTCCGTTTAGACGACAATGGTAACCAGCCCAAGCAGATGGTTCCTTTATCTCGTTCGCAAGTGTATCTGTCAGAAGTCATGGACTCTGTGTGTAAAAAAATGGCGGATTATGTGCGTGCCACATTCAAGGAAAATGGTACCCTTATAGTTATGCCGTTAATGGTAGACGGTAAAATGAATCCACTTATGAGCGAAGTTGATGTAGTGCAAGATTCAGATTTAAACAAAAGCCTGGAGTATTATTGTGATGATATTGTCGATGATATTGAGGACGATGTCATTAAAATTATGAAATCTGAAACCAGTAAAAACGCAGTTTATGCTATTTGCAGTGAAGCTGTACAATTGTGCCCAATAAAACAAAATAGACTGGAACTTTGATGCAACAAACAAGTGTATTATTTATATTTTTTTATGATGTTGTATACGATCGTTATATATATGTTTAGATAGTTTTTCTTTTTAATTTTTGTATGATGATAAATAATGATAATAATGTATTCATTAATGAATAATAAAATACATTTTAATTAAAACTATTGTTGTATTTATCAACATAAATTATCTGTAACTTTTATTCCTTTAACCATTATTGAAATTATATTTTTCATTATAACCACACAAATATTGTGACAATTGTCGTGCTGTATTATTGTTATAATAAAAGAACATAAAAAAAAATATATATATATATTGTAACAGCTTGGTAACATAATAATTTGGACAAATTTATACACTTTTTTAAAATAAATTTCTAATTTTAACTAGAAAAATCCTTAAATTGTTTTTAATAGTTTATTACTATCATCGAATTAACGAATTTTGGCAAGTCTGATAATGGATAAGTTAATAATGATAGTTTGATAATGGATTAAGCATAATTTTAAACAAATTACTACTACAAGAAAACTTACAAGTTCAATCTTCAAATAATATATTAGTTAATTTGATAGTAAATTTATTTTATAGTGTTAAAAAAATAATTGAGCTTAAAATTTTTATAAAAACAAAATTATTTTTCAGTTTTTTAAGTAGAGAGACATTGTTTTATTCCATAGCGTTTGTTACTTTTTGAGCTCTGGTTAAACTATATATTTTTTTTCTTTCTCTTTCCTATCTATTTGTTTTTTGTCTACACTTAATATAAATTTCTTTATGAACATAGTATTACCTATTGTAAGGTGCTTGTAATTTTTGTTTAAATAATAATACGTAATTGTTAAGCCATCATATTATACAATAAAGGCTATTAACGTTTAGAACATAAAACGCAATCCACCCAGGTAAAAATCAATATTTTAAAGTTTAAATTCCTTGTTTCAGAAACAAACAAAAAATAATTAGGAATAATTTTATTTTATAAATACAAAATATAATAATTTTATAAAATATAAACATTTTCTGATTGGAAAATTAAATTTTTTACATTACATTTCAAAGAAGATAACTGTCAATATTCACTACACATTATTTACACAAGTCTTAAAGTAGTTACTAAATAAAAAAACTAAATTAATTAATTTTAAATGCTTGGATCGTGGAATTCTGATTTCATATTTTGTTGAGAAATATAAATGGTTTTATTTGTAAGGTTCTCAAATTTATATTTAAATAAATTTAATTATTTTATACTTGGCCATTATAATTATTTACTTGAGCTGAACTGGGTTTTTGAGACATGAGAACATATTTTTGCGGAGCACCTCCTGTACTACTTGTAGTTGTAGCAACTGGGCGGCCAACAGCAGTTTTTGGTTGTGTACCTATAAAATATATTTTTATTTTAATAGAAATTGAACTTTTCAGCACTTCAATTATAAAATATTACTTGTCTGTGTCACAGTAGTGTTGTTTGCACTTTGACCAGCGACAGAAGCACGGGCTTTAGTCACAGCTGCATACAGTTGTGTCCCTACAGATCCAAATTCTTTTTTATAATCTTCTAAAACATCAGGTGTTTGATACATTATTTTTAATACGGGTGTTAATATTTTCTAAAAAATAAAAAAATAAATATTTATAACTAGCAAAACAAATGTTTTACTACATTTTTTGATTGTCAAATTACACAAAGCAAATGTTTGATTTGATTTCCAGATATTCTATCAACATTGTTTTGTGATACTTCAGGAGAATCTATTCTATCGGATATCAAACGAACTCTGGGGATAACAAATACTTTGATAGTTTCGGTTCCCAACTCCGCCAAGCCTAAATTATACAGTTTAAATATATTTTAGAGAAAATTTAATTTTTCAAAGTTGCAAGTTTTCTATTACCTTCCAGGGCACCATAAACTGAAGGAAGTGCCGTTTTATCTGAGTTAGTGGCATTGGTAAAAACTCTAGTTATTCGAGTTTGTACATTGTTTGTTGGTGTATTGAACATTTTGCAAACTTGCGCCATAAGACGAGCAGCAAAATCTCGCAAAGCCCAATGGTTGTCTATTTCTGGTCTCATACATAACTGCTTGCTGACGACACATGTTACCACTGATGGTATGATCTCGTGTAACTGAAATAATAAACTATATTATCCACTTGGGCTATTGATTTTTACCAAGTAATACCCCTAACAAAATATACATAGGTACAAGACTTTCAGGTAATTGTTTTTTAATGACCTTCATTAAATTTTTATTTTTAAACTTACGTATTTTTCCAAATAAAGTGCTGGATTGTCTAATAACGCTTTAACCATTCTCATCAAATATATAAGTAATGCTAAATTATTTTGAACAACATTCACTTTGACTCCTTCAGCAATAAACGTGCACATGCGGGGCAACATTTCATGAAGACCCGGGTCAGTTGCCAGACTTTGAAGAGCTTCCTGTAATTTTTTTTTATTTTAACTACATAATCGAAAAATGTTACAGATATAGTAATATACCGCTCGTCGAGCTTCATCTGATCCAACACACGCTTCGGTAATTTCTTTGTAATAAAGTTGTTGTTCGACAGATAACTCATGAGTAGCTAATTGTTTGACGTGAACAGTTTCTACATTCTTTAATTTTTGAGCTTTTCTATAACATTAAATTTAAAAAGAAAATAATAGCGACTATAATCATAATAAATATTTCATTGTAGAAAACTAAAATATTGTACCCGGTAGTAGGTCGGCCCGACACTTCTTTATCGATAGGTTTCTTTAATTTATTAAGAGGATCCACACATTCTGTCTTTTGCACATCTTTGGGCACAGATGGAGGATTTTCAGGTACCGAAGGTTGAACACCATCAATTGCTAGCCAATGACCTTAAAATATAATGCCCAAAAATTAGTATTAGAGCCCAGAAATGGAGTTATAATATATGACACTGTTAAACATTTATTTTTACGATCATACATCTAATACTGATGTCCAAAGGTAACTTGGCAAGAGGCGCATTAACAAACTCGATGAGGTCCACATCTTTGTCATCAGTAAAATGTAATTCTCGTCCACCGCCCGAAGCATATCTAAATGGTATATGATCTTTAGCATGAAATCCATATATTGGCTACAAAATAAACAAAGCATTATGATTATATCAGCAAATTTTTATTTTTTTATGCATATATTTCTTAGCGGTAGGAGCATAAAAATCTGGATTTTAACAAACATTATTTTGACCATTTAAGAGCTCCATAAATACAATAAATTTGTAAATCAATAAAAAGTATTCTATAAAAAAAGTTAAAGAAAAATGAAAATCATAAAGTATAATCGCTGAAGGACATTTAAATTTCATTGATTTTTGTTTAGATAATAATTTGTTCATACAATTTTTCTAGCGAGTAATTTATATGTATATACAGAACATTAAATTTCAGCTATTAAGATTCTTATTACTACCTGCTCAATATGCAGTATAGTAAGTATTGATGTGCAACATAATAACTTACTTCAATGCCAAGCACTTTTAGAGCACTATCAATATCCGAGGGCATTAATTTGCATCTATTAGAATGCATCATAAATTTTTTACTTTCCTAAAAATGAAAGAAAACCATTAATCGTGCTACATTATAAATTAAATGATTGAATAAAAAAAAAAAAATTATTGATAATTGTTTTCATACTTGTAATACTAATTTTAATCGGTACGTAGCAGAATCCGATATTTCTTTGGCGGCATCGTCAGACAGATTGCCGATACCCACACTTTCAGCAATAACTTTAAGCGACTCTGTGGGTAGAGTTGAACCATAGTTTACTTCGATTTCACCCATTTTGCCGGTAATTATCTCATTAATTTTCAAAATTTAAACGACTGAATACAATATTATTTTGTAAACAGCAATTTAAATCTCAATACTTGCAGCCCAACCGCCAGTGAAACAAAAAACAAACTACAGACACAGATTATATGAAAATTATAGATTATATTTTCATATAATCTGTGCTACAGACTCGAGTCTCGACACTACAAATTACAACTACAACTGATTACAAATTACAGCGAATATTTTGTAAAAAAATAACATCGAGATAACGTCGGTTTGTCTGTTGACACTTGATTGGAATTAGATAATACATTTTTTACGAATTAAGATATAGCCAAAAGGCGCGTTTCTAATAAATACAAGTTAAAAAAAAAAAAAAAAATCTGTATTCTATTATGGAAAATAGAGATACGCCATTAAACAAAATTCATACACATACGAATAGTTGTTTGAGTTACTCAACTCAATTAAAATACCTACTGTTTTACTATGCAAAATGTTATTTCAATATGTAATTTTCCAAAACGACCAACACTCGCCAATCATTTCTATAGGATTACTTTACGCCTAAAAGACACCTTAAATATATTATGGCTTTAGGCCTTATAATCCTGGACATTTTATCCTCTTCTTTTAAAAAGGGGCACCTACATTCACATAAATTTTATATTTTTAGAGTACTACTGTTCATTGAGTACTAAACATTGAGTACTATACAAAATGTATTATTATAACGCGCTCGGTTTGTAAAATTGTATTAAACTGATCAGTTTAAAGTGCAATAGTAAAATATTTAATATAATAATTAATTATGCAAATGATGCAATTAACAACCCGTCCATAAAATATAATTTTTAGTATTCGTTAACAAAAGTAGCATAGTGGTCACACTGATCGTTTTTGTAGTTGATATAGATAAATACTAATACTATTGGTGTATAATATTTATATTCGATGGTAGTTGATTACCTGCTATTGGTCGTGGAAAGTTGAATTTGAGAAAACTGAGAATGTAAATGCGGCTATTGCCTATTACCGTATAATTCTAACTTTTTTGATTATTATACCTGTGTTATGTTATTGATTTTCTATAACTAACTCAACAGTATAATTAATAATGTAATCATGTAACCAGTCTACGGATGTTTTAATAATACTTACGGTGTAGGTGCTTTGTTTCAAAGTTAATACAAGAATTTGCCGTCTTTAATATCTAAACATAAGTAAGTTTAAACAATATGTTGGGCATATTATTATTATATATTATGTACGTTCGAAATGACTCCTCCCTCATCCTCTCTACTTGGCTCTTCACTATCTGTTTTTGGCCCTTTTTTTTATACCGGCGTTTTTAATTTTCGCTTTTAGATATAATATATGTATTTATGGTTACATCGAACTAATAGTATTAAGTTGCCCTCATTTATAAATATTATTAATTGTTGAGATTATGTGGCACTCTTTTATATAGTATTATATTAATAAATATAATCATGCAAATATCAAAAAATAATAATTAAATAGAATAATCATGTAATTGAAAATATAATTCATTTTGTAGATAGTATTATTCATTTACCATATTCCAGTGTAGCAAATAGTTTTAAACTTTTTTTTAAGGGTCTTAGCTCTACTGCAATAATATCAACTAAAACTTAACCATACGGTATAACTATTAACATTTATTTATTTATTGATTTTATTTTTAAATGTCTACTTAACACCTCTAGTCCTCTTTAATTGTACAACTGCTCTACCTAGTGATATATGGTAGACAAGGAAAGTAAATTGTCTCATGCAACATATGATAATATATATTGTGGAAAAAAAAATTAAGATTTAGGAAAATGTTTGCATGAAACAAAAACCATTGCTGCTTTGCATAATGTTATTTCTTGTACCACAAATTGAAACTACCTCCCAACATTAAACATTAAAAACCTCCCAAAACATTAAAACCATCAAAAAATGAAAATGCTCAAAATTGTACTTATATCCCTCCTTGTATGTTACGAATCATGTATTGCATCCATAATTATTATTATTATTGTAAGTTTGTGTACAATACTATATCTAATGTTCTTCTTCCCAGTGGAACGAGATCCCAATAAAAGGAAAGTGAAGCCACCATCTAATCCAGAACTTGTCAATTTAGATGACATAGCCGGTGAAAGTTCGTCAGATAGTGATTTTCGAATAGAAGATCATGTCATTGGTTCAGATTCTGACATTGGGTCTTATTTTACTGATGGTTGGTAATTTATAAGAACTAACATCATAGGTGTGCGCATGGGTTGAGCTAGCTATTAGTCAAGCTCACCTGGCCCACCCGGCCACTCGTCCTTAATTTCTCTGCTTATACCACTTAAATATTTTATCTAAATATTGTATTATATATAGGTGAAGATGATGACGATGATGATGATGATGATAATGATGAAGAAGAAGAAGATGAAAATGAAAATGAAAATGTTGACAACAATATTTCAGCAGCAGACGCTTCAACTGAAGTGACAACCATTCAGTTTAATTCCAAAAAAGTAGGTATTAGTAAAAGAGGTTAGCGTAGTGATAAGTAATGATTAAAAAAAATATAAAAACACTTATAGGCAATTTACAAAAATGAAAACTTTATTATGATAAAATTGAACAAATAAAATAGACTCCAATATATCTGTAATGGTGACCAGACACCCGCAACAAAAAATTTTGTTTAGGATGATTATTTCTGATTATATCTGATACACTGCTTACTAATATTGCGCGTCACTCTTCTACACGCACCACATGAAGGGAAGGGTTTGTCAGGCAAAAGCTGTTGGTCAGCCTAATTGTTAACTTACAAACAATTAATTGTTAAAGTTAAGTTATTATATATGTAGTTATGCAGTACTAATTTTAACTTGTTTAGTTTAAAATCATCAGTATGTTTGCTTTAATTAAAAATGTTTGATTTGTATTATTTATATAGGTAAATTTAAAAGAAATAGTGGATAAAATTCATATTTGCAGCATTTGCTTGGGTGACGCTAGCGATGCAGTTAATGAATTAATAGACTGTGATGAGTGTGGTATCTCAGTACATGAAGGTATGTATTAATAAAAGGAATATATATATATATATATTTATTTTTAATAATAATTGATTTCTAGGTTGTTATGGTGTGCATGACACCGGAAGTGTAAGCTCATCAGTTTCTTCTTGTTCTATGGAACCTTGGTTTTGTGAAGCATGTAAGGCCGGTGTTGAAAACCCTACATGTGAACTATGCCCTAATTTTGGTATGTATAAGTTAATTAAAAAATAAAAAAACGTAAAACATTATTTAATTAATTTATTGTTTAGGTGGTATCTTTAAGGAGACAGACTGTGGAAAATGGGTACACTTGGTTTGTGCTTTGTATGTACAAGGCATAACATTTGGTGAAGTTACGAGCCTTAATAGAGTTATATTGTTTCCAAATACTTCCCCACGTTGGGGTGCTAAAAGTTGTATTTTATGTAAAGACATGAGGTTCATGTGCACTGGAGTGACGATTGCATGCGATGCTGGATTATGTAGATCAAATTTCCACGTTACTTGGTATGATTAATATAATATTGTATTAAGTAAAAGAATGTGTGGTTGGTTAATGTCTATCACTATTGCCAAATTTATAAATAATAGTACAGTTATTACAAAACTATCTTCGATTCCTAACATGTAATCATCTTAGATTGACAACATATTAAATAAAAGCTGTGGTGTAGTCAAAGTATACTCTGTGTGTACCCTCATCCTACTTTTTAATGTATGCATGTACTCATAACAAACAACGGTATTCCATTTTTGTTGTGTACATACAGCATATACCCTACAATTACACTACTATGTAAAATATGTAGAAATTTAAGTTTTTTCTTTATATTTTTATGCATTTTATTACTTATGTGTAATTTAATTTTTAAAGCGCTCAACGTGAGGGCTTCTTGTCAGAAGCCACAAGTCCGGACACTGATCAGTCGGATCCATTCTATGCTCATTGTAAACTGCATGTGGACAAGCTTATTGCAAAGTTAGTGATTTTTATACTCATGTAGTATTTAAAATGTATTAGTTTAATACAGCAATATATTTTGTCGGTTTAGAAAAAGAAAAAGAAATTGGGAAGCTTTACAGTTGAGAACTAGACAAATGAAAATTTTAAGAGAAGAACAAGCAATTGAAAAATCTGGAACATGGCAACGTAATCAACGAAGACTTGAGAAATTACGTTCTAAATATTATCAATCAAAAAATGTTAACAACCCAGAATTAAGTGAGGATAGATAACGGTTGTAACATTTTTTATTCTTCTCCTTATCCCATCAGATGGGGCCGGCCAGTGAAATTGGCCCTCTCCACTAATATCTATCCATTAAAATTTTTTTATTTACTCCATACACCGTCATGTCTATTTTTCACATCCAAATACTACTTTATCCATCAACCTCTACCTCAAGTTTAATGTTTTATAACTAATAATGGTTGTAAATTTTAGCATTAAAGTCCAGAGTTCCTCGTTCTATAACGACATCAGCTTCAGCATGCCGAGCTCTTTGGTTAAAAGCTAGTTTGATGGGAGTGAATTTATCTTCTTATGAAGCGATTGAAGGTCATATAAAGGCCCTTCGTGATGTTCCAAAAAAATGGCATATACCACCTACTTTTAGGTTAGTATAATATCCATTTTATTATCAGGCTTATATAATATACTATATATTAAGATCAATTGTACAGATCAAATAATTCATGTTTTTTTTTTTTCTAGTTTGGAATTTGTAAGTTATTTTTTGGATAGAAATCTAAGATTGACAGAATTGAAAAAACAGTTAAAGTATTTCACCGAACAAAACATAAAACTTCATAACGAACAATCAGTTGTTCAAGAAAAATATAATCAAGTAAACGACCAAGTTTTACATCTATCATTCATATTTTTAATTTAACATTTGTTATTTAGGTGTCCGAGCTTAATGAAAAACAAAAACAAAAACATTTAGAACTTAAAAATTGCATTTCAGCCTACCATAATGTTATACTTTTTGGTGATCCTAATGCCAAATTACCTAATATGGATGTGCTTGTTGTAAACGATCAAAATACAGGACAACCTCATACAGGTTGGTTTGTTTTATTTAATTATGTTATTCTATGGTAGTTATGTTTACGTCATTTCTACCACTATGGCAAACAAATAGATCGTAAATATCTGCACAAAACATACTTGCTGTCCAACAATTTCTGGTATTTTCCTGTAAATTTGAATTCTCTTTACAAATAAATAAATACTATTGTAACCTTTCACTGTTATAAGTAGGGTATTGAATGAGTATTTGTATTTTAAAAAGGAACTAGGTACAAACTATACAACTATACAGATTGAGATTCAGGTTGACTTTATTCATTCAAGGGGGGGGGGGAATGTCCAATCATTTTGTTGGACAGTAAAGTGGATACACAGAAATCACCTCTCTTGATATTTTCTAATAAATTATATCGAAATGTTCTTATTGTTAAAATCCTATTTCAGTAATAACAAGTGATTCTGTATCTAAGCCTGCTGCTTTAAAAGCAGGTGTTGGATTCTCATTGAAACATACTGATAGTACAGGAATCATAGGTAAGACTTTGAGTAGTTCATATATAGTATGTTACAGAGTTCCAATAGTCTATCGTTATCTACTACTTTGCTAACTAAAGGTTATATTCTGAAACATACTATATATATATAAGTTACAACAAAAAAGGTATTATTTTGTAAATATATATATATATGCCTTTTACTATTTGAGTTTGTCTCATGACTTATTATTCCTAAATATTGATTCTGTTTGTAAAGAACAGTTTACAAATAAATTATTAAGTGGCAAATGTGTTAGGAAAATATAGACCCGTGTAAGAATTGGTAATAAAACAATATTGCCTAACTTGAAGCCCGTTTCACAGGTGTGAAATGTTATATTTGAGTCATGTGTTTTCATACGCCGTGTATAAGAACGAGTGTACTATACACACAGGTGTGCAACGGGCCTAAAACAATAGTTGAAAATAAAGTCCAAAACTAGAACTTATATAATTTACCTAACACCTGACATATATAATAATTTTTTTTTTTTTTTTTAGATAATGATGTTCCTTTAGGATTAAACAACAAATGTGGTATCTGTGCTCATGGTAACGACCAACATTTGCTCGCTAAATGTGATAAATGTCGTTTGTATTACCATTTGGGTTGTCTAAACCCACCGCTAACCAGGATGCCTAAAAAAACTAAATTATTCGGATGGTATAACAAATTACACTACATCAGTAGTTTTAACCGTCACTCATACTCGACCTAAGTAATGACATGTTTCTTTTTTTTCAGGCAATGCAGTGAATGTGACAATAGCCGTTCAAATTCTGAGCCAGAATCTGTTGATCCGAATGCTCCTAGAAAATTAAGAAACGTTAGTAGAGAACATTCAGTATCTGATAGTTTTAGATCTCCTTCTCTTGTAAATGACGTGAGTATAAATTAAGGGGATTGGAATGCACTTATTTTTTTCGAGCAAAAAAAACCCCCCGTTTTGTTGAAACGTTATGTTCTAATAATGATAATGAGTCTGACAAGATAATTTAATTCTTGTCAAGTATTTTTATAGAATGACTTTCCTGCTTTTTTTAAATTTTTATTTAATACAGACATTAAGTGAACCATGCAACATTTACTCTGTGACTCGTAAATATTGCAATTTAAAGTTTGTCTCGCTAGAACGAGGCTCAATATACATTTACTTATCACAATTTTGCTTAATTTATAGCCTAAATATAATCCCTTAATTACATACAGATTCCAATCCCCTTTAATGGCATTATACCACCTATTTATTGAGGCGTTCAGTAGAAAAAAATTTTCAAAAAGTTATGTTAAAACCAAAAATGTGTAAATTTATTAATAAAGTAACAAGAATTTTTTATTGATGGTTAATTTTTTATCAGACCACCACAGCATCCATTAATGACATTATTTGTTATTTTTTTAACCAAACCTTGGCTACATAGATTTACTTGTATTACTTAGTAATATAGCAGAAACACTTTTGGAAAGAATGTTATACCCGTTTGTTGATTTATTCATTATTGAGCTAAATAGGAAATGCTGAAAATGCCACTTTTTTTTTAATAGTAAATATTTTAAGAAATATTTATAAAAAATGGTTATGACTTTCCCTTCATGTTTTTACGTTAGATAATCTGGTATATAACATTGTTTTTAATTACACAACACATGGTCACTGCCTATCAGTAATGTCACATAAAATAGGCAGGGGTTGTGGTTGCAAGGTTCTATCACTCGTTTTTCACACTCGTGACTATTATAGCATAACATTTTAGTTAAGTATTTTGTTAAACAATGTATATTTTATTTTAATAACTTGGAACTAATTGACTAACAATTACAGGAAATTGGCAGCTTAGATGACCTAAGTAAACCATCTAGTACTCAAAGTGAGTTTAAAATTAGTACTATACAATATCTGAAATTAACAATAAAAAAAACATTCAGAGACTGTTCCTGTTTTAATACTATTAAAACCAGTTTCAAAACTAATTAAATACTCAATATAAGTGAATGTTTTTGTACATTTATTTTCAGAAAAGAAGAAGCACCATGAAAGGCATAGAGAAAGATATTCTCCTGAAATGATTACAAAACGAGTTAAAACTCGAAAACGTAAACACAAGCATCATAGAGAAAATAATATTGTTCAAGAAATTGAACCCTTTAATGATCCAATTAGTGAACCGCCCAGACAAGGAATTAAATTATTTGTGAGTCTCTTAATTTTTTTCTCATACTGGTTTTTTAATACTATATAGTGCTTTTTTTTACTTTTCATAAATATTTAGATAAAATCTGTACCGAGTGCTAGTGGAGTTAAAACAACCTCGTCGCAGTTGCTTATCGCGCCACCAGTAGATGATGTGCTGCATGTTACTAAGCCCAAACCGGAAAAGAGTGTTGAACCTCTTAGGATAACTACAACTTCTAATGATGTTAAAGTCACCCCAAAATGTAACAATTGTAAAACAACTGGAACTAGTGCTACCATGGTCCAGTAAGTGCACTAAGTCATTTAGATGCTATATAGCGTTTGTCTCTGTGTAAAACTCATATATCGGACACTCGGCTGAAACAAAAACTTAATTATTCAATTATATAAGAAATACAAAATTTAAAATAAATAATAATAAACTAACGTGTTTTTATAGGTGTGACGAGTGCAGTAAAAATTTCCATTTTCGTTGTCTTGATCCACCAGTGAAAAAATCACCTAAAGTGCGTGGATACTCGTGGCATTGTGCGGAATGTGATCCAACGGTAATTTGTATTACGCCCTAAGATAGGGTGAACGAAGGTATTTTCGTGGCATAAGCAATTTCGTGATATAGTTTGTTGATCGTATCGCGTAATTCCCTATTAGAAAATTGTCTTAAAAATCACACTGATTGTTAAAACACAGTTATTTTAACAATCAGTGTGATTTTCAAGACAATTTTCTAATAGGGAATTACGCGATACGATCAACAAACTATATCACGAAATTGCTTATGCCACGAAAATACCTTCCTTCACCCTACATTGAACTACAAGAAAAAATTGAATTATATATTTTAGTACAAAGGAAAAATCATAGGCAATTAATTTGTTGATTATTTTTATGTTTCAGGATAGTGACTCGTCTTAATCCTAAAACAAAACACCTATTGTTGGAAAACTCAGTTAAAATGTGTAGTATACTCAGTATTGTATTATATTATTGGTTTAATATCTTTTGGATCTTCTATTGTATAATTTTTGTAAAGTAATTTATATGTTTTAAAGTGTATCTGAAACAATTTTATATTTTGCTTTTATTATTTTATTTTATCGACCATTAAATGACAAATATGGCACAAGTGTTTTCTTATCTAAAAAGATAAAATAAAAAAGTTTTTTATTTTATTGTTTATATTTATTTTTCCTTCAGTCGTTTAAGGTAATTGAAAATGTGCAATGCATATGAATATCTAAACAAAAGTCTACTTTTTAGGCCGCAACGAAAATTTTATAAGCTTTTCATAGATAAAAAAAAAGTTTTTGTCGTACTTTCGCTGTAATTTATAAATAAACTATTTTAAAAATAGTAATTTACCATTTAATTAGTTGCTACACTTAGAATTTCTCCTAGACTAGTTATTGTTAAATATTGCCTATATTTTGCCCCTTAATAAATAGCTCTTTCCGTTTAGAATTACTCGAGGACTCGGCTTATGAACTTTAATAACTTCAAAAGAAATAATTAAAAATATTAAGTAAATTAATCTTAGTTATTAAAAAAAAATTCGTTTCGTTAGATTTGATAGAGCTCCGGAAAACTTGGAAGTTGTAAAACATTGTAAGGTAAAATAGACGAATATGTTTTTAAAACGAAAAACACCTAAATTTCAGTTGTTGTGCGACAAATTGAGTGTACGTCATAGACTTCAAGAAATATAAAGAATTATTTGTATTGAATAATATGGTTAAAGTGAATAACCTGTAGGCTGTAATTTTGCGCGTGTGTGCGAAATTGAACGTCGAATATATGGATATAAAATTTGTACTTAGTAACACCACGATTTAATATTTAATCGTGAGTAACACTAATTAGCGAAGCGATGAGATAAAATTATTCACGTCTAATGTTTGCTAAAGAAATATTATTCTGTCAAAACCTTAACCCACCCTCGTACATATAAATGTTATCATCTATTGAAGTAGTAAAATTAATTTTTTAAAACTTGAATAAGCGTCTTAGATTTGTTCTACTGTCAGCCCGACACAGGTAACAGACTTTATGGACGTAATACGTACCTATAGTCCGCAGTGTTATAAAATCATTATAATACAGGCAGTACGTTTTGTAGAGAGCGCTACACTACTTTGTTTCCATTGAAGGTATTCAAACTATAAATTCGACTGCCCCGACTGTAACTTTATTATTAGTATTAGGTTAATCGAACCTAAGTTAATAAAAAAAAAAAAGACTATAATTCCAATACAATTCGTAAACGGCTTGATCCCAATACGTGTACCATGAACAACGACATTTTGTTATTTTTTTAAACAAAATTAAAACCAATACAATATTGTAAATTAGACTGAACATGACTGGAAATTGACGAGTTTCGTAGAAGTTAGAATTAAAGCAATAATTGGACAAAACTAAAAATATCGTTTCCGATAACCAAATTATTATTGCCCAATCATAAACGTTATTGCATTAATACAACGACGCATTGTGTCGTTGTAATCATAGGCATAAATTATAATATTATCAAGTCTAAATGTTATCGGATGTAAAAATGTATTTATATATTTTCGGGTGTTTTAATCAGGTTATTTTTATATGTATAGAATTTGACTAGTTATTTTTTAATTGTTACTATCTCGAGTTGGATTGAATGAAGGATTGATGCTAGAAGAAAATAAAATCGCCTATCCTAACTCGGTATTGAAAAATACAATACGCAAAAACGTAGGTACAAAAAAAAAGGCCTCTACATAGTTCGTACACATACTACATATAGTGTACATATAGTATACCGCATATAGTGTTTAGGCTACCGAAATATTATAAAAATAATATCAAAGTACATAATATTAGTGGACAATAAGTGGGTGTTTGTTTTGACCGAGATGCGAACCCGAGTAAGTATTGATTTTTTATTTTTGTATATATGCGGTACGCCGTGTTTCTCAATCGTTCAATATAATAATATACTATGTTTTTATTTTTAAACTGTACAGTAATTTTCCAGTATCAACAATTTCATACTTCATCCGCTATTCGTTTGGTGTTCAATATTTTGATCGTAGGTCGGACGAGAAAAATATGTATTATTATTATTACCTGTTATAATAAAATATATATTGTATTATAAAGGTACCGCACGACTGTTTCATATTGTATATTATATCCTAATAAACTGGTAATGGACCATACTAGTGCGAGTAAAACAAAATTCTCGTTGGAATGGTGTATTCGAGACCTTGGCAATCTCGTTGCTGACCTCATCGAGGCGCATTTGAATTATTTTGTATATCTGTCTACATCCCGGAACTACGATCGTCTTGCTGAATCTTACTGGGTAGTTTTTATACATGCTAAAAAAAATACACCTGGTGTAGCCTTCTTCAATTCCGAAGACACCATATAATAATGTTAGTAACAATCTTAACAGGTTATCGCTAAAATTGACAAAAAAATAAATACGTTCTATTAAGAAGCATCAGACCACCTATTTATTAGAGAATTAACCATAAGTATAGGCGATTGTTTTGATAAAACTTGATTTCAACTAACGTTTTCAAAGTCAAACAATAACATAAAGTATTATGTACCTATAGTTTGCAATGTTCACATCCACGTTGACATTTAATATTTGTTTACTAATCTTACAACGTATAATTATTGTACAATTATAACATGTCTCGGGTGATAAATATTTTATCTGATGAGCAGTTTGAAAAATACTTCTACACAAAATTAAAAATCGAAACGTACTTTTAAGTTCAAACGGCTCTGTTTTACAAGCAAATAAAAATATATTGTGGGCACCCTCTTAAACGATTTGCTTACAATAACCACACCTGTGACCTGTCCAAAATGATAGATCATCATTAACAAAACATCTGTATCGCACACATATAACACAAAAACTATTTTTATTTTTTTAAATATAGTAAAAATGATTTTAACAGTATGGGCAATAAATATTTTGAAACCATTTTTACGTTTTTCTTTTAACTTTCAACGGTTCAATTAAAGATATAGCTATTAGAAGTAAGATTGCATAACTTCGAATTTTTACAACAAAAACCAACCCTTAAATCAAGTCTTATAAAAGTATAATTAAAACTCAATTTGTAGGTCTTAAAATAAAAAATATTCGCAAAAAAAAATTTAATATAAAGCCAAAACTCAAATGATAAAATTGATAAAATATTAAAAAACTTGAAATAATTTTAATTTTCGAGTATCATTGATTTTTTTCTTTTCAGTGTGGTATACAACCATTTTTTTCCGTGTAATGTTTTTATTTAGGCATATTTTTATATTAATAATGTGTTTTTTACATTTGTTAAATCTGTTTAAAATCAATGCTTCTACATACTGATTATTGCGTTACTATCTAATGTTCATTATAATGCATCAACGATGTAATATTATGTTAATACTGTATTGTAAAATAAATTCTACATGTGCGTTAAAAAATGTAGGGCTATTTGTATACATAAAAAAAATATGAATTTTTGAACGATTTGAATAATATATTATGCAAAATTGTTTTCTTGTACGCGTGTGTTACATTGAAAAATATGTCCAAACCTAAAAATCACCTGTTTCCATTAACCTTTCAACGCAGTCAATATGTACAGTAGGGCGTGAACACTGGAACTTTGTTCGTGTTTTGGTTAATACATTAAAAAATATTGATAATCAATCATCTAATTGTAATAGATATTGTATACCATTTCCACGTTCTACTTTCTAGTTGGTTATAAGCTATTAATATTTTTAAGTTTCCACTTTAAAGCGAGTATTTGGCAATAATTTCAACATGTTTCAAATTGGGGATTTATATTTGCACCTAACATCAATGTATTCATAAGCGTTTTATGTGTTAACAGCTATTACGTATAAATACTTAATTCCCATGAATTTACATAATTGCATCTATGCAGTTGACTAATCATTTTCCTTTCAACAGTTATTATTATGGTCACCATGTGTGGTATTTAAAAAGAAGCCGACTTTATGTTTTCAAAATTGTACAGCTTACCTATATTCTTATTTATTATTTACATTTTAATTATAAATTTCGAAATAGGCATCGGTACAAAAGCCATTATTCTTGAATAACAAAATAATTATGTTATAATTGGACACTGTTAATTTATATTATCCTAACACTTTTTTCAGCAATAAATTTGTATAAAAATTTAATGGAGGGCAAAATTCAAATGGTAATTTTAATGTGTAATCAAAGATCGTATTTGTTAGTTTTTTTCAATCTTCTTCGATATTTGAAGAAAATGTAGTACTCACAGGAAGAAAAAGGTATCATTGAGAAAAATTATTGTTTTTGAAAAACAATCACTTGTAAACCATCATTTTGGATCTAGTTACTAAATTTAATTTCTTTTGAGATCTTTTAATGCACCTTTTTTTTCATTCCAGTTCTGTTCCCCTTTGCTACTACATATATTATGAGAAATTATTAATACTATTGTAATATTCAATACATACTCTTCGGTTTTTTACGTAAACGTGTATTGTAAAACAATAAAATGCATAAACATGTTGGACGTTGGTAATGTAATTTATCACAACTCTAAAAACCGTAGGCCGTGTATACAAAATAAAAATAATACGTTTTTAAGAACCTTTGGGTCGGTCATAACATTTTTGTTATTATTGCGTGTCAAAGTTGAAACGTTGAAACCAGGTTAATTTAATTGGGTTTTTAGTTTTATTCTGGGCGTAAACAACTGTTGTATTATACTTTTAATATAATATCTATACGAAGAAAAACGTTCAAAACAAAAACAACAATTTTAATAAAAAACCTAGTGGCCTATGCTTTATAGTTGTCGTTATGGAATATGGATTCGTAGACATCGGGTCATTACTTTTTTCTAGAACTTAATTTTAACCGTCATGTCTGTTATGCGTTATAAATTCGCATAAATACAACGCGAGCAGACATAAAAAAAAATACGTTTTTAGCAATTTGTATTCTATATTATATTGTTTTATAAGGAAAATTACTTCAGTATCGCATCGACTGCCCTAATCGTAAAATAGTGATAAAAAAATTGAAAAAAAAAAACATTTATTTGTCACCGTATCCACAGTCTTGGTAAAACCGTGTAGTAAAAAAATATTCACAATATCGAACTGATATCATATAATATATGGTAATAATGTACATACACCATTTACAGTATAACGCTATAATTTGAAGGCTGCCATTTGAGTTTTCTCGTTTGTTTTACATATATTTTTTATGAAGTTTAGGTAAACGAAACAAATGTATGCAATTTAATTTGTCGACAGATGTGTTGAATTCGTAGTGCACGAATGGATTCGTTTTTTGTAGTACTCGCACACATAATGTGTCAGCGTGATGCTTACAAATCGCTACCTATATGAATCATATGGATGTGATCCACTTATAAATAGTTCTGTATGTGAACGATGGATCAGCGTGATGATGTCATGTACAACTTAATAATTTTTCTCTCGAGCATACTGTATAAATTATAATACACTTGGGAGTATACTTCTCGGTAATGTTTTTTCTTATTATTATTGTCATTATCGCTTTATACAATTATTAATATTAGTTACACATTATGAATGTCCGTGTGGTTGTTAATGGTGTGCGAAAATTTGGGTTTATTGTTTCATCCGACTTAGTTAAACCGACGAAAACTCATTTTATTATATTCTAATTATATTTTCTGCGTATGACTAATATTTATATCCTTCAGTCACCAAGTGCATTTCCTGACTATAATAATAAATTATAGTTCAACTATTTAATGACACTATCTCTTTCAAAAAGAGTATCAATTTTTCTTTTAATTTATATATGACCAATATAGTTTGTCCACATTATTATTTATTTTCAATGTTTTTATACACAAAATATTATTTACCATAACATATTTTAGACAATGTGATGTTGTTGTAATAACTATTTGATTAATAAAGGCTATGAAAAAAAAAAAAAACTGATTTTGGATTAATGCTTACATAATTCTATTGGCACTGTTGTCTATTTTTGTATTTTCTTTTTTATTGGTAGGTTGGTGTTTTACACGAGGGTAATGACAATTATTGACTTATTGACATGTTCGATAATATATATATACATAAGTATGTACGTTACAGTATAGACGTGTTTTACGGGGAGCTATGGTGTATAATTCAAACATACTATAATGATTTATTCAAATTACATAGCTGGACAGTTTTTTGTGGAATAGCGTGGGATTGACCCCTCTAAAATTGTTTACAAATAATACAGGCACATAGGTAACAATAGGTAACCATTAACCAAAAAAACGTTTTCAATGCCATAACAAGAAAGTATGGTAATGTTATTTGTTAACTCGTACGGACTATTGAACCAAATGTCGGACAAGTACAACCCACATCGAATTATTTGTATGGCGCTTGTGAAATTCGTTACCTAATTAGATTAAAATAAAATATTATGTAAATTGAAAAAAGCAAAAATTATATCGTCGTCGTCGTTATTATATTAAGATCACATAAATCAAAATAACAAGTACCCGTAAACGTTAAATTTAACCGTGTTGCGATATTATGCACGAGATCCTTTTTAGGTAGTACATAATAATATATTATTTTTTTATGAATACTTAATAGCGAGCGGTGCTGTTTTTTTCACTGCCAAAACCGTCCAATCGGTGAACGGCGTTTTTTTTCACACGACCTTTTGCATTGAGTACTCATCAACTATAATAATATGATAATACGATTATAATTATATTGCCGAGTATTTATAATTTAATATATTTCACCTCGCTCTCATACGTCTGGCACTAACGAATACTGTAAACAATTATTACTATAATTATAATATTGGTAATTTTTTTACCTTCGCGTTTAGGTTTTTATAATTGTAGCGATAAATTAAATCGTTTAGGGTTCCTCGAATCTACTTAAACGCGATCCGTACAACGTTTCTGTGTAAAAAAACAATTAATAATTATCATTTTAACAATCCGCCGACGACGGTAAAAAAGAAGTAATAATTTTCGGGGCAAGGTTTTTTTTTCTTTTCTATCATATCACCGTCAGACAACGTACGGTAACAATAGCGACACAATGGCGTGTGAGGTGTTATGATGATAAAATAATATAATTAGGCACGCCGACTTGCGCTTTGTTCTGCTGCGCCGGTGACTTCATACACACACACACACTTTGCGCGCCTCATAGTGCATTACAATTTTCATCATAACAATATTGTAATTTGTAGTCGACCGTCCAAAACTACTAAAGTCCTTGAACAGGCGAATATGATTTTTCGTGCTGGTCGTACTGTACAGTGTATACGAGTATTATAATAATATATGGTCGGGCGGAAGAGGCCAACGGAGGCGCCGCAAGTCGTTGCGTTTACCGCCGCGGCACTAGTGTAGTAGTCTGCCATGATAATCCACTCCACAGTCTATCCGTGAAACGTGAATTCGTCCTCGACGTCGAGCGCTCATCAGTGTGTACTGTGTATTCGCAATTGTTGGTCGCCCGTTTCTCGTCGCTTTGCTACAACGACAACAACAATAACAACAACTTTCCATTTTCAACGCACTTTACCGCCGCCGCCGCCCGCTCGCGACGAACAACAGGTAAGCGTTGCCGCCCGTCATATTATTATTATTATTGATAAGCAATAGGGCCGCGTTGCTTGTTTTATTGTTACTACGCGTCAAATAAATGTCAACACATTGTCGTTTTGGACAGACTAATTAATACCCAATTATTATATGATAAAAAAATAATAGAAATATAATTTAGGTATTAATAATATTAAGCTTTGTAACAACACGGTTTTATTCAGTCTTTTTCAGTTCTAATCGTGTTACAGACACAGCGAAAAGCTTCAAAATGGCAATGAGAGGATTGACTTTGTTGTTGGTGACTTTTGCTTTTTACAACGGCGCCGTTATGGGTGAGTGCTATTTTTTAAATATATTGTGTGTGGGTGAATGGACGCGCCTCACAGGCATTTTATAACTATTATGTATAGACCGTAGTGATTTAGAGTAACTAGCTACTCATTTATGGTTTTTTATATAATCATGGTCTGTATGAATTTAAAAAATATTGTTATTATATATAATCATAGGCGGTGTGCTAGCTAATATTTATGAACTAAACCGACTTTCATATTACACGCCCTAAATAGTACTAAACAAAAGTAAGCTGCGTCTTGTCGCTACCTTTGAAGAAGGCAACACGCTTTGTATCCCTTAAATGGATAAGCTTTTGTTGTCTGTGTTTGTGATTGAATAAAAAATGTATACACATCACCGTCACGCCTTCAGTTATTGTATCTTTTATTCGATTACAAGCTACAGACTATAGGCCTTAAGCATGTAATTTAATATTGTACAAATGTCGCGTGTATTTTTATGCAACAATAATCGAGTTAAGTACCCTAAATCAATTGTATGACTCATACGCATTTGTCGTATATATTTATCTCAACCTTCATACTGTGAAAATTGCGTTCAAGGATTAGATGATTTTTATTGATATATATATGTATTAGTTTACTTTGGACTGCACATAATAATAAAATACGTTTTTATTATATTATGTAGTTTTATTATAAATTGTATGATGATATTTTTTTTATCTAAATGTTATAATTGTGTATATGTGTGAATAATTTGTCGGTTTATTTTTTATATATATATATATTTTATAATATATGCAACTCGTAAGTAAGCTCTGTATGGACTCAGAATAATTTGTCAGTTTTTATCAAATAAGTTTTTAACACCGGACGCGCACAATACCTTAACTGCATCATTTGATTTTGACTTTCGAACATACCTAATCCAACTAAGATAACATTTGAAGATTTAAATCGCAACACAACATTATTTGGTTTAAGTTAATTTGGTTCATACAAGCAAAAAATATTAAATTATATAAAAAAAATTATGTACTCGAATGATTAAAATGTTTACTCTTTGTAGGAGCCAATGATTGTACGCTTCCGTGGTTAGCCAAGAACAATCCGTTTATTGCAACGGTTGAATCCTCGATCATGAACAGATGCCCTCCCCTGATTGGCGATCAGAGCAAGGAATACTGTTGTTACAATACTGAAGGAAAGGTTGAATGTTGTAACCTACAAGAATTTTTAGTCTTTGGGTAAGAAATGATACATTATACTATTTGAACAGAAAACTATGATAATTTCATTAATACAAGTATTAATAACAATATTTATTGCATTACAGGTTGATTTGCCTTCTTCCTATCTTAATCATTTTGTTGATTCTCTCCTCGATCATCAGCTGCGTTTGTTGTTTATGTTGTCCATGCTGCACCATCTACAAACGTAGGCAAGGTGGTAGTAAGTACAACCACTTTCTTTTGTAAACTAATGCTAACCATTAATATACCAGTAAGCAGACCTGGGTCATATTTAAAAATTTATTTTTATTAAAAAACCATATATTTATTAAATATAGTAAATAAAAAATGATTTAATGCGCTAAATATTAAAATAACATTTTAAATAATTATTAGTATTTATTTTTTAAATAAAAAAATATGTCCAGGTTTGCTAATAAGTAAGTAAATCAATTCATTTAACTTATCAATTCATGATGAAGTTTACCAATCCATATATTAAATTTAATCTTTTTTATTCTCTATACAAAACAAATGTGTGATCTGTCAATCATATTTAATTTCTTTTAAATCCATTAATTATCATCACTAATAAAAAAAAAAAATGTTTAACTTCATGGTTTGTTGAACTACATCTGTTTTGTACACATTATGATTATTATAATGTTCATAATTTAAAATTAATAAAAAATACATGATAATCTTCGTTGCACGTCATATTTTACTTTATATAATAAGTATTTCTTAATAAAAAAAAAAAAAAAAGAATGTCGTAATATATTATTTTTGTCTTTGTCGCATGTGTCATTTACAAAAATAGTTGTACACACTTGAAAAAGTGTGTGAAGTATAGATTGTAATGACCTATTGAAATAATCAAAATGATAATAGTGTCTGTTAAATACTGCAAGTACCATATTAAAATGAAAAAATATTAATTATGTCTAAATGTACTCATGTACTAAATTTTATGGTATTCTTTTAAGTAATTCGGTTATCGATTTGAATATTTAAAACACATTATTAACAAAATTGTACGTTTTACGTAGAATTCTTTATTAAGTATTTCTTTTTAAATTATTAGCATTGTAGCGCTACTTGTTTTTGTATTTATTGACATGATGATGAAAATAATATAAATTTAACATTGCACTTTGTTACCCTAATTGATTTTATTGTAGCGACACAATTAAATTTTTAAACTTAATCTATATACAGTTAAATTCCACTCGTAAAATGTAACATCTCATATTTAATATTGATTAGTTATTTAATAGACATTGTACAAACATTTTTTTTTAAAACTTATTTCAAATTACTTTTTGTGACATTTTAAAATTTGAAATTTGCATGTTTAGCAAGCATTTAGCAAAGTATTTTTTTTTTTTTAAGTTTTATTTTATTGAAATTTTATTTATAACGTGTTTTTAATTCATGGATTAATTTTTTTTGTTTTTTACACGTTAAATTTCAAATTGAATTTAGTAAACGCCGCATGATTAATAACAGCGTTGAATTAATATTATAAACAGTATGATTAACAAGTAGAGAGTTTTATATTTTCCTAATTTTTTTATGAAATTATTTTATTGTTGTATCATATATATTTGGTATATAGTGTCTTGAAAAAGCATGTGGTTGTGGTTAATTTAGAAATTTGAAAACAAAAATGAGACCACAATTTAATGCATTTTCGCAGGCTGCGTCTAAAAACCATATTACTGCAGGGGTACTTGTTTCACCAGCGACAATTAATTACGTGTACGTAGAAACCATTCCAGCCGGTCCATTCGATAATCAATCCTTTATAGCTTCAGGTAACACGAAATTTGTTTATATTACTTTTATTAGTCGATCTAGAAAATATAACAGTATGTTTTAAAATAGATGTATAACAATATTAACAAAAAATTAATTGGAAAAATTTGTTTTGTTTTTAGCTTCAGCCGAATCTGCGCCATTACTGCATAACGAGTACCCTAAACGCAATGCATCTTATAATATGTACATGTAAAACGCACTATGTGCTATAAAAAAATTACAAATAACATTAGCTTATAAGACATCACATTTATACTTAGTATATATTACGTCATTTTCATTAAAAAAAAACTATATGTGTATAAAATATAATGTATATCTTATATCAATGACAGTATTTATAAAATGTCATTGACTAAAGGAAAAAAATAAGTCCTACTGTAAAAACAACAAAAATTTCATTAACGCCTCCTCATAAATAAAAATTAAAGTAGTATTATAAAAGTTTTAATTATAGAAAAATATATTTATGTATAAATATTAAAGATTTATATTTTGAAATAACGCGTAAGAAAAAAGTATGTACAATTAGTGTACTAAATTTTACAAATATTAATTAGTTAATAATATTTCGTTTCATACTATTACAGTATAACTTAAGTTCACGAGATAAATTATTATTTTTATTTCTTTAAAATCTGTCCATTTCAAATTTGTTTTAAAAACCGAAAATCAAAAAAAAATGTTTCCTAATCAAAGATAAAAGTGTATTTTATGTTATATATTTTTCTTCTAACGTTGCGCAAACTACATTTTGTGCCAAATACATTCAAACAATAGTCTAGACGAGTGTCAATTACATAAATTAATTTGCATTTTAAATTATATCTGGCCCTTTTCGCTGAGTGTCATTGAACGTTGCGTACTTATAATATTCCATGGAATATATGATATGGCATTGCATGTTCACCGATACTTGGTTAAAAGGTTCAATCATTTTTTAATTTATATTATTATTCAATTAAATTATTTAAGTGTAATACTATATTATTTTAGTATAAAAGTATTCTATTGAGTAACTAAGAGAAGTTATTAAATTATCTTTTAATATACATAAATACTATTTATTTATATGCTTCGGCCATGCTATATAAAAAAGCATTCATCTTTTTTACTTATAATTTTGTTTTTTTATCTTTTGTTTTTTACTTATTTTGATATGATGTGTTAAGGAAGTTACATGTAAACACAATCATTATTTTGTTGTGTTAAAGATATTTATTTAAAAAGATTGTGTTAATATTTTGTTAAGCTTAACTAACTTAACTTAGTTCCGAATAAAAACATTAAAAGTTAAACTTAATAGTTGTAATTTTTGTTTAGTTTGTATTATTAACATTGATTGAAGCCGCAATATGCATTTTATAATAACTTTTTAAATAAATAGTATAAAATAGTCATTATTTTTTGGGTACATATTTAAAATTCACTCTTAATGGAATACTCGTAATGAAAAACAAGGTTGTCACATGTTTGGACTAACTTAATCTGTTATTATATTTTTTACATGCAAAAAGAAAACCCAATGGCCAAGCGCATGTGATGTATAAATATATCTGTAGGTATTAACAGTGTATACCTATCAATAAGTTATAGTAAAAAATATATAAGTAATCGACTATAAACGCAACAGCTGTGCTGTTTTGACTTTGGAGGTTATCATTAAAATTCATATAATAAAAGTTGGGAGAAAAAGACTCGAGTAATTGCTAATTACGGTAATTCGTTTTTACAATGCCCAATCTCAACATGAATTGTTTCTAACGACGTAGAGTGAAATTATTATTTTGGGTTGTTATTGTAAACGGGCTAGTGTTCATATTACAATAGTGATGTTTATTATTATCAGTGACAACAAGCAAAAATGTAATCTAAATTCTAATAAAAGCAAAATTGACGATCGTAATGATGTTTAACTAATTATATGTTAGACACAAATTAGGCCTATCTTTTTGGTCTAAAAAACTATTTTTATTTCTTATTGTGGGAACATTCGATACAATGCGAGAACATTTGATTGTTTTTTCAAAAAAAATTATTAGCAAATCAACTTTGAATAATATTGTGCTAGTTTTGCAATTATTTTTTCCGATTATCAGGGACTAATTTCATGAACTTTAAAATAATCCTCGTGCCACCTTCTGAATGCAATGACTGATGTACTACTCGAATAATGAGTCGGTTAGGGGGATCAAATGTGGGGTGAACAGTAGCATAAAAAAAATTCCTGCTAAATTGTAGAACTTAGAGGTCCTGGGAGTGTTTTGACTTTTAAGTATGAAAATAGCGACGGATCTTTTAACATAACAAATCACAATATAACAAAATTACATTATTTATATGGGTGAAATACGATTGCGTACGCTGCTCATCGGCAATAAACTTATTAGCTTACCTGTTAAATCACATAATCTACTACACATAGGCGGAATTGGAAACGATAAAAATGATTATATGTAATAAAAGTTCAGCGCTGTAGGTAGGTAGTTGTAAGTAGTGTTTTCGGTGTGTGTAAAATATAAAATGACTTTTAATATGGATATTGCAATCAAAATAATTGCGTCAGAACGCAGAAATAACTTGGCCATTAACTGATACAAACAAATATCTTTTTATTCGCCAGCGAAAAGACGGGCAATTTAAAGGCTATGCACTTACAAAACACGTTAAGCGAGTGTATAAACAGACAGTTGCCGTTCAAAAGTACTAGCAAGATATATGATCAGTATATAATTGACTAAAATATTATGTTGTATTTATCTAAAATTTGGTCTATGTATACCAAGGTAAACATTTATTTTAATTTTTTTGTGATTTTTTTATGACGAGTCATACTAAATTATTTTAATTGTGATTTTTAGTTTATTAATTTTTAAACTAAATTTTAAAATTTTGATGTACTAATTTTTATAATTACCTATGATTTTATGTATACCTAAATGTATTTTAAATTCATTATTTAAATTATATTTATTAAGCAATATTTAAAAATTATGGTAATTTTTAAGTTTAAAATGGTTTTTTTTTTTTTGAAATTGTATAATTTGAAATTTGGCAACTTTTCGTGGGTACCTAATCGTGTTCCCAAAAAGTTATATCATACGCAATCGGGTTCTACTCATTTACATTTACAATAGAATCACAAAACATAACGCAATAATTTAAGTGCCATAAAATAGAATCTAAACATGTTTAAGTTAGAATTTTGTGTATTTAATTATATGTACCGGCTTATTTACATACAGAGTTCCCAAAATGTCGCCTCACTCTCTCTTTATTTCTCTCATTGATCTAATTTAACTTTTAACAACATATATACACCAGGCCGATAAATGTTAAGATTTATAGGTTATTTAAAAAAACATTTTACGAAATTCAAATAAGGTTGGTTGTATCTCCAAACCAACAATCGAAAATTGGTTTCCAACAAAACCTAAAGAGTTCTCATCTACAATTTATTTTATAGGGTTTTTTACTCTAAAACCACACTGTAAGTCGTGTTTTTGGAATTAGAAAACTATGTTTAAATGAAAAAAATATTTAAAATCGCTAACAAAGATGCTGTGATAGTCCGCAAAATAAATTAACTGCCTAAAAAGAATACTTATTACTAATTTAATTATTACACATATTACTATTTAAGCTTTAAATTAAGATTTTGTAAAAAAATTACCTATACCTAACTCCTTAAGAGGGGGGGGGAGGGTCGTGTAAAAAGGCTTTTTTTTTTTTAAATGGTAAGATTTATTAAAATGAAATAAATTACATCATGAAATTGACTCTATATTAAGACTTAAAATTTAAATTTGAAAATTTAAGAGAACATTCTACAGATCATGATAAAATAAATAATGATGACAACATACGTGTTTGAGTAGTTAGCGCATCACGCCCACTATAGTTCACCTCATTTTATTGGTTGCTATTTTACCGCCAAATTATAAATTATCAATGATTAGGTATCGGCAAATATACATGATTATTATAAAATAATAACCTTGACTATGCCTATGATGTTTTTTAAATAATTTTGTGTCATGAAACAGCTTCTAAGTGCCAAGTTGATACTGAGTACTGGATAATGGATATTTGTCTTTATCTCGTTAAAACAATAAGCAGTCGCTGTCATCTTTTATGCGTTATAACCCTAAAGGTAAGTGTTTTTTAGCAAGTCAATTTTAATTTTATCGTTTACCATTGTTTTTTACCTATTGGTTATTACAAACGGTTTGGTTTTTATCAACTACTACCTATATTTTCCCAAACTTGTATTATAACAACGTACACCGACGTACAGTAAACAAGTTGATTGAGGCGCTGATGAAATAAATATAAGTATACCGTGCGTACTTCGTTGTCTTTATTCAGTTTAAATACACAGTCCTAAATTAATAATGACTTTCGATTTAATACATTTTAACGTTTTTGTATGGTAAACAAAAGAAATTTGACACATTATAATGTGTGTACCACTGTACCATACACAATAAAGGCATTATTAAAAGACATTATGGTGAATATAATAAAGCGAATTTTAACGTAGCGCAAGGTACTTATTCAGCACAGATAAATAAACTATGAGGACATTTCTTCTATTTCTTTCAAACGTTTAACCCACTTTAATTGATTGGCGTTGGCGTAGAACCAGATCACGTTGAAGTCGACGCCTTCGAACAGTCGGTACACGAGACTAATGAACAGTTCGGCTCTCATGACATTTTCTTCTATCGGTTTTGACGGACGGGTAATAAACGTTTTTATTACTTTATTGGTAGCTATATTCACAAGTGAACAGCCGACCGTCGTACCCTCCAGAGAAGAGCTTTTAATCAAGTCAGCGAGATCCGATAAAGGTACTCCGAAATCCGTGTTCTCCTCGATGTTCCGCAGCGATTCGACAATTTTCGACGAAAGGTAATCTACTTGTTGTCGGTTCTTGATATATTCCTGCGGTTTTTTGAACATTTGCAGGATGACGGGAATTAAGAGATCTTTTTCGCTGGCCACTAATTTTACATAATGCATAAAATCTCTGACGACTTGGCTCATGATTCGCATGCACGTCGACCGAGTCTTTGACCGACCGAATTTGTGAATTGTATTGATGAAGCGCAACACTATGCGCAACGCGATAGCTTTCAGCATCTGAACAAAATGGTATTGGAACAGTACCAGGGCGTGCATCTGCTGGTGTAGCGGCAAACTGGTGTTCAGGGCCAACCGGGACAGCAAACTCAGTTTGCTCACGAACGGAGTCTGGCTGTCGAACGTACCCAACTGTTCCACTAGTATTGCCATGTCGTCGAGGTTCAGGTGCGCGTCGTTCAATCGCAAACGTACCATTTGCAATTGCTCCAGGCATTTGCCTGAGTGAATGGGGACGATCGTCCGGTTTCTATCCGCCTGTCTCTTGAAACTTTCTTTGTTTTCCCGGATCGACCTGAGCTTGGTGTATCGATCGCGTGCTGCGTCCACGGATTCGTTGATATGCGCCAGGAATTTAACGTTCCGCCGTGGCTGGCCGGTATGCTGGTCGTAAACTATACACGAATCCGTGAACTCTTCGAACACCTGAGTGACGGCATCGTGCACTGACCTGAGCCTTTTGGCTTCTGGCCCGTCGTTGCCGACCTCGACTGTCGCGAACTTGTGCACCAGCTCCGTGTACATGACCAACGTCCACATCAGGTCTGTCGTGCGACTCAACTCGGCGGTGTGTCGCGTCGACTCCAACATCGTTTGGGCTTCGGTCCTGAACGCGACTTCGGCCACCATCTGCTTGTCCGTCACCATGTCTTTGGTCAGCTTCAAATGCACCAACGAGGTGTACGCGTAGCTGCACTGCAAATCGGCGATGGCCGTGATCGCCAATTCCATTAGCTGCTGCTCGCTAGCTTTTTTCAAGTACCGGCTTGGCACCGATTTGGCAAAAGGCCCTTTGTCCAGCCTCGAAAGCGAATCTACTCTTTTGTCAATGCTGTGCGATTCGAATGGAAACATAACCATCAACACAAACACCACCCAAGGCTTATGTTGAACGTGCGACATGTTCACGGTTGAGCACACTCGATCACTAATAATATTGCAGCCGATAACGGTACCTGCTTTGCTCAAGTTGTGTTGTTTCAGCCATTAAGCGTCTAAAAACAACACAAATGTCGTTTTCGGCAGTTTTTTATTGAAACTAAACACATTTATTTGGCATCGCGTGTTTCCGTCGTGTTTATTGGAAATTCGTAAAATAATTTTTTATTTTACTTATAAAAAAAAACCCGAAATCAGTGCTGTATATAATTCCCGGCTTAAAAAAAAACGAGCTTTGATACATTCAGTTATCGCTAAGTATCATGTTAAAGATTAATATTTTTTTTCTTCGAATTTACCAATTATTAGTTTATAAAAAAATAGTGGGTGACCAGAGATCTCCTTTTGAATTTGTCATAAAGGTTACTCGAAACATTTTAATTTTTTCAATTTCGAATTTTAAACATTAAAAAGTAAAATGACCGTTCCAATTCTGTTTATAACGTACCCCTTCGCTATATGAGAAATTATTAATGTTATAATAAATATTATTATGCAATGTATACTAATATTTTTTAAACGCAAACGTA